GCGGCTAAGTTGGTAAGTCACTGAACTCATGGTTTGAAAGTTGTAGGCTCTGGGAATTGTTGCTAGAGCTATCCATCTATGGAGGCTGGGCTTTGTGCATTGTTTTTAAAAGTGGCTTCATATTGTGTAGTAAAGGGTAAAAATAAGTACAATGAAGTGCATACTTTTTACTATAAAACTGTTTTAATCACTAGCTCATAAAGCTAAACACTAGTGAGCTGATGGCCCTTTTTTACCCTTTGGAGACAAAATATCGGGGCGACACAAAGTAGCCAAAAGGACGACTGGGCCGATCAGTCGGCCTAATGTAATACAAGCCTTGAAATTGGCTGGCAGATTTTCATACCAGCCAGTCAGATTACTTCTCGCATTTCTTGTGGGCTGTCTTCGGTAATTTTACATCAATTTTTTTTTTCTGGGGCTACCTGTGCCCAACAATGGTGAAAAAGACTGTAAGACTGTTGCGTCATAGCAACCGAGCAACCGAAACATAGCTGGAGGCAGGAAAATGAGTAGAACCATGTGCCAGATGTGTCTGAAGGGCCTCCAAAGGCCTTACTTCCCAAAACACAAGTATTAGGACTTATTCAAGCTTCATCCATTAAAAAAAATTCACCCAATTTTTTTAGGTTAGTCATGTTTGTTCCCAAGTTGTAAAAAAAATTGCTTGCATAAATTATGCAAATCAGAATAGTTAATTTGAATAAATTTTGAGATTTCAGTTTGATTCATGGATATTATGTTGGCTCATTCAATTTCCTACACAAATATATACACAGTTTTGTATATATTAATTAAAATGCTTTATTTTTTATAATTTTTTTGTGTATAAACTGTGAGAATCCCCTCCTGAAGGCTTCGTCTTTTTTGACACTGAAACTCCAAAAAGGCTCAGTCTCCAGAGGGTTAAAGTTAATTAGCTAATGTTGCCTAACATCAGCATTTCTCTGTGATCCTTGCAGCATATGTATTTTTTCTTCTTCTTCTTTCGTTTGCTTGAAATAGATTATCTATATCCGCAATTCTGTCTCCAGTATGAACTTTACTGTCTGTTGTAATTCAGTCAGCGACCCTTAAAGTTTGGCTTGCACCAGTGTTTCTCGTGGCCAAAGGTTCTGCCTTGATATTTTGTACTTGGGACAGTCTTGGAGGACATGATCTGTTGTCTCAGGTACCAGTCCACATGTGCACATGTCTGATTTGCCGATTTTAAATTTTGTGCACATGTTGGCTAACAAAATCGATTGTGTCCTGTTCTAAGGTGTTGAAAAATAACTTGCTCTGGTCTGTCCATTATATGGTAATCGTCTTTGGTCGGTTTTGGTGGCTTTCTGATTGATTTGGTTATTCTTGTCTTCTGATGATAAAAGACTGGTACGTCAGGTTTTTCTTCATCTGCACCTTCCTTAGATAGTTTATCAGCTCTTTCATTTCCGGCAACTCAACAGTGGGATGGTATCCATTGCAAGCTACCTTACACCCATATGTAAATAAGAAATGCATGTACAGTTAGGTCTCACTACCCCAATTCCAATGCTAAGGAATTCATTAAAATAGCCAAGTAGCTTTTGCCATAAAATGCAAATATTTAGTCACTTCAACCATTAATTTTACTTGAACGCAGCTCAGCATTCATCTTTTGCAGCCGCCACTAAAAAGGTTTATATCTCTATTTAGAATTTATATACAGGCTACACCGAGGTATCTTGATTGGATATTTTAATATCTATCCATCTATGATGGTTCCATAAGTAATAACTTAATATATAAAACTTCACTAGCATCCCTACCCAATATACAAAACTTCCCTAGCATCCCTAAGCATATTAAAGATTGTTTTGCAATACTGTTATTTGTGGCCATTAAACAATTTTTCGTATTTAAACTTTCTTTAAACTATTTTTTTTTGGCTCTCCTTCGATCTTTACCTACATATTATGGCAGCTAAACAAATACCCTAACAGGGCCTCAGTCATGTGTAAAATGCAGACTTCCTCCGACGAACACATCGCGGAAAAACTAGGATTACTGTCCGTTGACAATTTCGAGAAACACACCAATACACCCGATAATAGCGACATGCAGGTTAGCGATAGTGTTCTTCCGATTAAACTCACCGCCTAGCGTATCCCCCGCGTTGCTACGCTCGGCACGGATGGGGGGATAAACTAGATGGCTGGGACTCACAAGCAGCAGCTACTGCATCTCTGGCAACTTCCTCCAAATTATTTGCTCTGAGTCCCCATCCACGCCATGCATAGCGGCGCAGGGATACTGTCAGCGGTGCAGCATAGTCCCAGAAACAGGTCCGCAATTAACATATCGCTGAGACCCTGTTAAAGCATTTGTTTCATCATCATCATCAGTTCTCGTTATGTCTAGTGGCACATGAGGCTTCAGAGAGGACTTTCCATGCTTTCCTGTCCTGTGCAATCTTCAATGCAGTTTTCCATGTCAAAGATGCCGCACTCAGGTCACTTTCCATCGTTCGTCTCCATGTTGTTTTTGGGCGCCCCTGTTTTCTCTTTCCCTCTGGTGTCCATGTGAGAGCTGTTTTGGCAGCTATATCAGAAGTCATTCTCATAACGTGGCCAAGCCATTTCTATCTTCTCTTCCTCGATAATCTTGGCCCGTTATTCGGAGCCGATCCTAGTTTTGCCGCGATTTGTTCCACGGCAGGAACTCCTCATTTTGCATAGGACTGAGGCCCTGTTAGGGTATTTGTTTGGCCGCCATAATATGGGGGGGGGGGGGGGGAGAGATCGAAGAAGAGCCTCTTTTTTTTTTAAATTTGAAAACGTTTTTTATGTTTGTCTGAACTTATCTAAAAATTAATTTTTTCAAGTTCTTGAGTTATCCTTACCAAGAAAGGTAAAGGTAAACTTGTAGCTAATTGTTAAAAATATTAATAACATATGTTTTTGAAACTTTAATTTATGTGACTATATCATCACAATAAAAACGAGACAACTGACTTTTCTTGACATTTTATTCTAAGGGCACAGTAGTTTGAAATTCTTAAAACATATCGTATTTCTTTACTCTTGGAAAACAATCACTAATGTTTACAAATTTACAGCAGTACAGCAGCGTCCTCGGTTACAATCATTTCCGGTTTTCGGGAATCATCAGTGCCAGGAGAAAGCTGTCAACGCAGCCAATCTTAGGTTAACAACATACAAACATAATCAGAGACAATTTAAATTACAATGAAAAATATAAACTACAGTTCCCCCCGTGTCGGTTCCGGGGCCCTACTATGGGAAAAACAAGAATAGACTCACTGCCTACCCAAAAGCCTGTCGTAAGAGTCAACTTATTGGGAACTTCCTTCGAAGTCGGAGTGCATCTGCCTGAGAGGCAAGAAACCAACAGTCTGCATACAGATCTGTCAAACGGATGCACACGCAACACTCAGGTTCTGGAACAGGACTGCAGTCCAGAAGTGGACGAACAAACAGAACTTTCCGCCGGAGTTCACAGCCGGTGAACGCGAAGAAGAAGAAGAAGACCTACATTTCAGAAATTCAAAACTGATTTACCCTAAAGCAAACTATCACGTTCAATTATTTATTTGGGTACACCAATGTCAAACAAAATTACCCCCCCCCCTCCCCGGGCCACCCACATTAACTGGGAGGGGGAGGGGGAAACTGAGGCATAATTTGACCAGATATTGTATTTCATTCCATGACCGCTCTACGGCTGATACTGATCCCTTAACGGCTGTCTTTTTTTTTTTTATTTTATTACTGTTTCAATCATTTGATTCTTTTCATTCGTGTTTGTAAATGTAACATTGGTCTATTCCTGTTATATGCTGATAAAGGGGAGCTGCAACGTTCACTTGCCGTCTGTGATTGTGATAAAGTGAAGCTGGCTAGTTCCTAATTGTTTGTTTGGTTTTGATATCTTTTCACACTACCCGTGTGGGTTCCGGAACACCATTGTGGTGCAGACTCGCTGCGTCACTTAAAGGCATGCCCAAAGAGTCGAATAGCTGGAGGTTTCTTAGAGTGCATCTGGCTGTGAGGCAAGGAACTAAAAATAGTCTGCATAAAAATAAATCGGCTTAATGCTGACCACATTACCCCCTTAGTGCCGATTGGTCTGTACAAATATGGGACGCTCTTCCCATATGCCCGATGCGCCTAACGCGTAAAAAAGGGGATCTTACTTACTTACTATAAAAATAAATCAGATCTGTAAAACGGGTGTGCTCGCAACACGCAGTTTCTGAGCAAGACCAAAGTCCAGAGGCGGACGAACAACTAGAACATTCCGCTTGAGATAACAGCCAATAAACGGGTAGAAAAAGAACAATCTTTACATCATATGAGTCGAGGATGGAAGAACGTATGTACAGATTGGATAACGAAGGAAGGAACGTACACACTTTATTTTCAAAGAGTTGCAAATTAGGCACGAAGGCCTGTCTTACATTGGGCCCTTCGGCCGGAGAGATGCAGTGACCTGGTCTGGAGTCTGAGAGTTAAGAAATGATACACAATTTATTGCTCTCATTGTGATCAGAACAATTTTCTTCATTGGAGAAATGAGTTAATTGTTCAAATACAATGCCGTAATGTAACCGGCTTTAACACAAAGCCCGGGCAGGCAGGTGACGCCGTAAATGAACTAGAAAAGTCAGATATCAACCCGGCATCCGATATTTAAAGGTGCAACTCCGACTGCATTTGCCGGTGTCGGCGGCCGAACCGGCCAATCGGCGTCTTTCTGTGTGAAAGCCGTCATTTGATACATAGCTTCCGGTGTCGTCTCCGTCACTGGCTCCGGTTTTGCCGGTGAGTTTTGCCGACAATTCGGATGCCTGGTCAGTCTCCGGTGTTTCAATTTCAGCGTTTCCTTATGTACACTTATCAACAGAGTTCTACTAGACTTGTTAGTACGGGGAACTGTGTTTTGTTTAATTTACTTCCATTTCACAGTATTGTTGTTGTTCTCATCGCGATCAGAACACCTTTCTTTCATTGCACACAATGAGTAGATTGTTCAAATACGATGTTGCAACATTAATCAGACTCGTTGAAAGTTATCCCTGTATATGGGATAAAACAGCTGATTGTTATAAAGATAAAATCGAAAAACTAAAGGCGTGGTCAGAAGTTTATGCATTTTTAGAAGAAGATTTTACACAAAAAGACAAGAAAGAACAACAAAAAATAGGTAAGCTATCTTTCATGTTTATTTATTATTAGTTTATAATATTAATAATACAGAAAAAGAAGTCATTATATGTTGTTAATTTGCCACAGTAACGCACCCTCAGTACGCACAAAGTAGTTTGACAAATTGTTTTTCAGATTCAAGGGCAGTCCTTGTTGGCAGATTACATGCAGCTCTTGTGGATACATTGCATTGCCTTTGAGTTACATTTCAGATCTATGCATATCGCGCTTACTCGTCCCACATTATAAAGAACTGCACATGCTTTAGTTTTAGACGTGAACGGCGCCTTTCTATTGTTTGAACACGTTTAGTGGTCTGTGCAGGATTCTCCACTTATTAGATTACATAGAATATCTAAATAACAATCCATGCATCTATCTTCTTGCACGATTCAAACAGTAATATTAATAATTGATTATTTGTCTTCTCCATTTGATTACTTTCTGCAAAAGGCCGCATCACTTGTTCTGCTAGCCCAAATCATTCGTCAGCCACAGGGTCAGCTCTAAAAATGTTTAGTCTTGTGGAAATGTTAATTGATTTTTCGTCAATAATTTTTTGGGGTTTAAAAAAAAAAATTGGTTCCGTGAGATACGAATGAGTCACAAACTTCACTATAGGCTTCCGTATCAACATATGTAAATTTGTATTCAGAATCGGCAATTGTCATGAGGCCCTTGTGACAGACGTTCATTTACACACAGTGAGAAAATTTGTTAACTCCTATGTTAACATCAACAGAGTCTTAGCAGTTTGGAAAGTGAATGTTTTTGTTCTTGGTTAAAGTCACCTGCTATTTTCTGCCATTTTTCTCTTGTTCAAAGTGAAAGAAATTTGTTTTTCGGTAGATTCCACACAGAGTTGCAAACCAGACTTACAGTTTTACTAATTCCCAATCTGTTGGTGTAATCTAGGCCACTATAGGTTGCTCCTGGAGCAAAATACCTAGAAAGCATCAACACTAAAATCATCATCATCAGTTCTCTTTATGCCTAGTGGCACATGAGGCTTCAGAGAGGACCTTCCATGCTTTCCTGTCCTGTGCAATCTTCAGTGCAGTTTTCCATGTCAGAGATGCCGCATTCAGGTCACTCTCCATCGTTCACCTCCATGTGTGGGTTTTTTTGGGCGCCCCTTCTTTCTCTTGCCCTCTGGTGTCCATGTGACAGTTGTTCTGGCAGAACAACACTGAAATAAATATAATTAATTTGAAGATATAGTTGAGTTTTTGTTGTGCCATCTGTAGATATTATTTTAATTTCACAATTTACCTTACCCTCTTTTGTATATTTTAGGTGAAGCAATTACTGGAAAATGGCAAAACATCCGTGACTCCTTTGTGAAGTCTCTAAAGAAAAAATCTGGTCAAGCCACCAAGAAGAAGTATTTATATCATGATAATCTCACATTTTTGTTAAAAGTAGTGCATTCAGATGACACAGAGTATGATAACCTCACATTTTCATTAAAAGTGGAGCAATCAGAGGACACCGAGTCAAGTATAGATGGTCCCCAGCAAGAACAGCTAAATGAAACCCATGGTGAAGAAGAAGCAGAGGCAGAAATAGAAGTGCAAGCACAGAGGAATGTTGGTGCAAGACCTAGAGAATCATGGAATCCAGCAAAAAAGCCTAGACTGCAAGAGGATATCAATACAACAGATTTAGCAGCCCTGAAAAATACAATTGATGAGGATGAGGCATTTTTTATTTCCGTTATTCCTTCTGTACGAAAAATGTCAGAGGAAGATAAACTGGACTTTCGAATCAATGTGTTAAAGGTAATACAAGACATCAACAGGCGGAAAAACAACCACCCACAACTCACCCCATTTTCTGCAACACTTTCTTCAGCAGCAGTGTCTATGAAAATGTCCCAAGACTCTTTACCATAGAGTTAGGCTCAAACAGGCTGGTTTTCAAGTTAGTCTTCAATGCATTTAAGCAAATGGGGCTATGTGGCCAAGCAAGAACACTGGCACTAAAGCAGTTGGGTATAGCAGCAGAGAAAGCTTCATGCTGGATTTGGAGCAGGTACAATGTCTCAGGGTGATCTAAGAAAACAGGCTCAGGTCTTAACATACAGAGTGTTAATCAAAGCCAGCTCTCCCAGGCAAAAGAAGCATGCGAAGAATGATGAACTAACTATTCTGTGCAAACACCAGCTATTCTTCCATACTCGAACACCGCAAACAAACCAGGCCCTCATTCTCATAAAATGTCAGTTGAAGTTGCTTCTGCGTTGGCACAATGGAATGTCACTCAAAGCATCCTTTACAGCAAGTGGTGAGGAAAGGAAGGCCTCACCTCAGTCCAGTGCAGCAGGGTGCCAACAAAGTGAGCTGGCTGCCTTCAGGTTCTGGCTGAGGTGAGACCATGAACGGGTTATGAAGAATTAACATGGCCTGGGTGGTAAGTCCCAGATCATAGCGAACCAGTCACATGATGGCAACACAGACAAGATGGATGGTGGAGTGAAGTTCGATTGCTTCCAGCCAAGGAGCAGCAAAGAAAATGCTGAAGATCAGTAAAAATATGTGTGGATCGCCTTCCCTGGGGCAGGGTTGCTCTTGAGGAAGCATTCTCAGCATCATACAAGATGGGGGGAGTTGCACAACAGGAGAATGAAAGCCAGTAGTCAGGACATGTTAGCAGAGAGTGTTAGGAGGGTAAAGAGACTGATATATTCAGTGTAAGGAAGTTCTTCTGATAATCAAAAGACTCCTGTTTTGCTCGCTTTTCCCAGTTGTTATCATCATTATACAGCAGCTGTTTTACAGGATCGCTGTCTTAACATCTTGCCATTAAGAATCTCAGGCAATTGTCAGATCTCATCATCACAAAATAGTAGTAACAGCAACAACAGTAGCAGTAATAATAATTTTCACATAAATAATATACTGAAAAACTCCAAGGGTTATAATCTGAACATTCAGTGTCCATTGTATTTTTCAGTGTATAATTTTACTCTGTTGTAAATCACACCATCATTTATTTGTGTAATTTACATTATAATGTGAAATATCCTGTTACTATGTGAAATATCCTGTTCACACCTGTTGGATTATTACTAGGACATATGGCAAATCATGATTATGTTGATAATATTCATTACCTGATAATTTAAAATAGTAAATTTATTATTATTGAATGTGTTTTTGAATAGTTCTTAAACGTTATTGTATTGATCAGTGTAAATAATTTTGGCTTTCGAAATAAATGCTTTCAATGTTTACATGAGCTTTTCCTTACACCTCCTATGTATATGTGTGGGTGTATAAATATATATGTATATATAGTTCTCATTTGCCTAGCCAGATAGTACACTTATTCATGCTTATCCACAGAGCCTTGATATTCAGGATCAGTTATATCAGTGGTGAAGCATGATCAATTCCCATATGAAAGCGTTAGCAGGTAACAGTTACACTGAAGAGGGTGTCATGTAATATTTTAATACTCATCCTTTAGCTGTTAAGAATATGTGAGTGCAGCTGCATTTTAGGACCTAGTAACTGATAGCCTTCACACTTTACAGTTTTATGCAGGTGCATAGCAAGGTAAGATGGTGGCTGGTGTGGGAAAATTCATTGTCATCCCCCCCCCCCCCCACCACCAACCCAGTTTTCATTGATTATATTTGAAGCAGCCTGCAAGCTTCTTCCTAAGCTACTACAGCGAGGTTTTGTTTCGCTGTGTTTGAGATATAAGCCAAGTGACATATTTGTAACAAATAGTAAGCAATAATAACAAATAACAACATTATTTTTCTTTAGCAGTGTAAAGTTCAATCTGCAATTACCTCCATTAGATGCATGTCCCCACCACAAGGTTATATTGATGATATTTCTCATTGCCATCAAACCATCCAGCATTAATTCTCTATTTTCGTCTCTTCTACTGCCCTTTCCTATTGTCATTGTATAATGAAATGAATGAATGAAGAATTGAAATCACTGCACTCAGGACATTCTCACACATGCTCCGTCTCCTTCTTCAGTAACCAACAAAGAGTTGACATGCAAAGAGTACCGGCTGCAACCTGATTAAAAGTCTGCCTCTGTTTCCCCTTCTGTGTTGAATATCTCCCAAACCCCCGCACCCCTTTTCCCGCACACTGAATTAGTCTTTCAGTGTGTGGATTCCCTATCTATTCTTTTGTACTGTTCATTTGATTCCATAAAGCCTTTACCACATACGCTTTATCATATAGTAGCTCACCGCCCAGAGAGAGCATCAGCAGCTAATCTATCAGCCTGCTTGTTGCCTCGCATATCTGAATATGCTGGACATGTTTCCAGTAGTGATCTAAAAGTGAAAGTTTAAGTCAAGAGGATTGGTTTCATTGCAGCAGCTTTTATCCCATCTCATTCAGTCTCCCTCTGCAGAATAGCTAGCCGTCTGCTGAGAGCATCGCACAAAGTACAATCTCCCTAACTCAGGCAGTGATCCCCACAGATCTCCATATAAATTGCACTAGTAAACTGAACCATGCAGTCATGAAACAAACCTACGACCTTCAGAGCGTGAGGTAAACGGCTTGACTACTTCGCCTCAGAGACCCCCTAGCAGTGATCCTGGCCAGGTACAAAGATTGCCTGTTGCAGGACACCAAGAGTCACTGATTAAAATACATGTTACCTACTTGCCAGGATGGAACTAAGTTTACAGCTCATCAAGTTGTATAAATGTGAACTAATTAAATTGACAGGGCTAACCTTGCCTATATGTGGGATGCAATTTTTTTGTTTTTTGAAGCCCTACCCTGGCTTCTTCTGGGGGCCCTGAATATAGCCTAACAGCTGAAAGGGGTTTCTGGGACCTCTCCACGGGTGATCCTCATCCACATGGTGGCACTTTGTGTCACTGAGTGTTTATCGCTTGTGGTGATGTCCTGGTGGGGTACAACTACCTACCTACATTGACAAGGCTGTAACTAATACAACAAAAACATACTATTTAATGTTTTAAGAGTCTTTTATAGTCTGTTAACTGTTTTTTTTTTTTAGACAGAGCACATTTATGATTACTATAAGTACTTTGACAACATTATTTAATGATAAATTCTTACCAAATTCTTTTTTTCCAGCTTGTTATGGAAGATGAGGTCATATCTAATCTTGATTCATTTCTTAAACTGCCATGTTTCTTTGAAAGACTTATTAACTTAAATCAGCACAAGATAATAATTAAAAAAAAAATTAATAATAATTACAAGTGGATAAATGAGAATAAAACTTAGTCAACAAATCTGGCATTCAAATTATATACACATATTTTAATATTACAGAAGTATTATGAGCCTTTTATGACATGCTTTTCCAGGGCCATGGAACCCACACAGGGAATATAAAGATATGTGAGTGGAGTAATTAGTAAACATGAACATTGTGCAGCATTAACTGGAATATATTTCCCAGGAACTGAAAAAGCTCATCTGTATCAGGTGACTCATGTCATGACCCTCTATTACTGAGGCTTATTGGGACAATTTGTCATCAACTTGACTTTAAAACAGTTATTTGGTTCAAAGGAAAACCCCCAAATGATTTTTTTAGATATTGTCTTCATATCCTGATCTCCTAAATGTCTGTCAGGTGCAGACTCAACCAGTCACACTAACTGTGTGTCTCGTAAATAGGCCTTTCTAGACAAAATGGAATAGGGACATTTTCGGTTAATGTACCTAACTGGAAGTGTCAGTTTTGAGTCTTGTCTGGACAAAAGGGTTTTTAACTTGATTACGTCAACAGAGTTTTTAATGAATAAAGTTACACTGAACAATCGTAAATACATCTACATAAAAAGTTTCTGCTCCACTGTCACATGTCAGCATTAAATTACACTTCCTTACTTTTTCTTCTCTCTTTGCCATTATCATCATAAACAATAAACAGCCATGCAGGATGTTGTGTTGTTCATGTTTCTGTACTATGCTGGCCAGTGGACCTAGAGGTCATGGTTTTATCAAAAAATGACCTTGGCTCCCAGGCCGACCCAGCCTTCAAATGGGTACTAGGTAAAGTCCTGGAAAATTAAGGTGGCTGGCGTGATGTTGACCTCAACACCCATAGAATGTCGATTGGTTTGAAAAATATAGGTCTAGCCCTACATGCCCGATATGCCTGAAGACATGGAAAAGGGTCCTGTACTTACTTTACTGTCAAATGGATGTGCATGCACAACCCAGGTTCTGATATAAGACTAAACTCTTGAAGTGGACGAACAACCAGAACTTTTCACCAGAGTTTACCTCCGGTTAACAAGAAGATGTTTCTATATAGTCTTATTTCCAGACTATTCAGATTTTTTTCTCACATCTTTCTCTGTTTCTTTCTTTCAGACTGATAAGTTTTTGCACTTTTTTCCTGCAGGAGATGCACTTTTCTAGCATTTAAAAATGTGTTTAGTAGTGTACTGTTCTGAAATAAACTTAGAGAGTATGCTTAAATAGAATATCACACAGACTGATTAGCATTTTCCACAGAAATAATTTTGGCGCTTCTTTGATTTATTCCCCAAAATGGCGGCATGCCACATTCTGGCCATAAAATATCCAAAAATATCCGAACGGCGGTGTTCGCGTATATCTAAAATACGGACTTTCTACCAACGAACAAATCGCGGCAAAACTAGGATTACTTGACAACCAATATCAACATTTGCACACGGTACTAGTAGCAGACGATAAATACCGACCGTTGACAAAAATTTCAAGCGTTTCTGCAGACGACGATACTAGCAGACGATATTAGCGACCGTTGACCAATTTCGAGACATTACAGACGATGAAAGCCGATTAGCAATACTGTGTTCTTCCGATTGGAGGATTTAGCAGCGGTAGATGTCAGACTTGTCGGCATGCGCCAAACGCGATTAAACTCATCGCCGAGCGTATCTAGGTGCCTGGGACTCACGAGTACAGTAATTGGAGGAAGTTGCAGGAGATGCGGTAGCTGCCACTCGTGAGTCCCAGCCATCTAGTTTAGCCCCCAACCTCGCCGCGCGTAGCGGCGCGGGGGATATCGCCCAGACCCTGTCAGAGCATTTGTTTCGTTATTCGGAGCCGGCACATATATTTTTAATAGAACTGACCCCGCATTCGGATATTTTTGGATATTTTATGGCCAGAAATTGGCCAATTTAGCTCCTTTTTGAACGCCATCATATTACAGCCGCCATTTTGGGGAACGATTCAAAGAAGCGCCATAATTTCAAAGTTGCCTGTGATGTGTGATAGCATCTGGCTAAGATATGAAAGTTATTACAAAATAAACTGACAAATGCTGTCTCAGTTTAGTAGTGTGCCATTACTTTATACTACTGAAAAATTTGAAAGTTAGGCCAGCTTAAAAAACAAACTACAATTACAAAGAACAAGATAGTATGGTGGAAGCCTTTATCAGCAAAAAAATAAATAATACGAAATAAAGATTACAGTTGTATAAAATAATGTATTTAACCCTGTCACCCTGGAAGCTGCAAACCTGGCATTTCCATTAGTGGCTCAATTCTGTGTATGCTCTTTTCCCAGCATTTCTACGAAGGCTTGCTCCCAAGAAGCCTAGTTAATGGTGCTGGGTTCTGGTTGCATCTGCATAGGCTTTAGGAGGCCATACCAAAATAGCATGGGAGGGGAAAAAAAAGGGGGGGGGGTCTTGTGAACAAATAGTTTTTCAAAAGCCATTCTGGCAGCATAATTTACTCAAGCCTTGGTGTTAGAATTTCAACAAGGACACAATGGTCATGGTATCAGTCACCCATTAATGTTTAGGCTTGTTTTTTAAAAGATGTTCTTTTCAGGAATTCGTGGGTTCATTACCATTTTTTAAGTGTTGCCTGTGCTAAAAGGTTAAGGCATCATAATATAAAGCAACCATGTTGTGCTGTTGTAATTTGTTTCTTGTTGTTGTTTGTTGATGAAGGCTTGTTATTTGTATTTGTAATTTTGTGAAGCTAACCCACACTTTACGTTTTCTGTTTACATCTCTAGAGCTTTTTTCACAGTAAAAACTCTTTTCATTAATAGACATAATTTCCATTTGATATTTGTCAAGAAGACCCTGGATACTCAAATACAGCAGCTGCTCCCATTCCTGTCCCCATACACATGGAAGTCACACCGTAAGCTCTGAAATCAGTGAAACAGAGATGTGTGAGACATAAATATCTGCATGCTCTCAAATCAGTGAAACAGAGATGTGTGGGACATAAATATCTGCATGCTCTCAAATCAGTGAAACAGAGATGTGTGGGACATAAATATCTGCATGCTCTCAAATCAGTGAAACAGAGATGTGTGGGACATAAATATCTGCATGCTCTCAAATCAGTGAAACAGAGATGTGTGGGACATAAATATCTGCATGCTCTCAAATCAGTGAAACAGAGATGTGTGGGACATAAATATCTGCATGCTCTCAAATCAGTGAAACAGAGATGTGTGGGACATAAATATCTGCATGCTCTCAAATCAGTGAAACAGAGATGTGTGAGACATAAATATCTGCATGCTGTCAAATCAGTGAAACAGAGATGTGTGAGACATAAATATCTGCATGCTCTCAAATCAGTGAAACAGAGATGTGTGAGACATAAATATCTGCATGCTCTCAAATCAGTGAAACAGAGATGTGTGAGACATAAATATCTGCATGCTGTCAAATCAGTGAAACAGAGATGTGTGAGACATAAATATCTGCATGCTGTCAAATCAGTGAAACAGAGATGTGTCAGAAATAAATATCTGCATGCTCTCAAATCAGTGAAACAGAGATGTGTGAGACATAAATATCTGCATGCTGTCAAATCAGTGAAACAGAGATGTGTGAGACATAAATATCTGCATGCTCTCAAATCAGTGAAACAGAGATGTGTGAGACATAAATATCTGCATGCTCTCAAATCAGTGAAACAGAGATGTGTGAGACATAAATATCTGCATGCTCTCAAATCAGTGAAACAGAGATGTGTGAGACATAAATATCTGCATGCTGTCAAATCAGTGAAACAGAGATGTGTGAGACATAAATATCTGCATGCTCTCAAATCAGTGAAACAGAGATGTGTGAGACATAAATATCTGCATGCTCTCAAATCAGTGAAACAGAGATGTGTGAGACATAAATATCTGCATGCTGTCAAATCAGTGAAACAGAGATGTGTGAGACATAAATATCTGCATGCTGTCAAATCAGTGAAACAGAGATGTGTCAGAAATAAATATCTGCATGCTCTCAAATCAGTGAAACAGAGATGTGTGAGACATAAATATCTGCATGCTCTCAAATCAGTGAAACAGAGATGTGTGAGACATAAATATCTGCATGCTGTCAAATCAGTGAAACAGAGATGTGTCAGAAATAAATATCTGCATGCTCTCAAATCAGTGAAACAGAGATGTGTGAGACATAAATATCTGCATGCTCTCAAATCAGATAAACAGAGATGTTTAAGACATAAATACCTGCATGCTCTCAAATAAGAGAAACAGAGATGTGTGATACATAAATATCTGCATGCTGTCAAATCAGAGAAACAGAGATGTGTTAGACATAAATATATGCATGCTCTAAAATCAGTGAGACATAAATATATGCATGCTGTCAAATCAGTGAAACGGAGATGTGTCAGACATAAATACCTGCATGCTGTAAAATCAGTGAAACAGAGATGTGTGAGACATCAATATCTGCATGCTGTCAAATCAATGAAACAGAGATGTGTCAGACATCAATATCTGCATGCTGTCAAATCAATGAAACAGAGATGTGTCAGACATAAATATCTGCATGCTCTCAAGTCAGAGAAACAGAGATGTGTGAGACATAAATATCTGCATGCTGTCAAATCAGTGAAACAGAGATGTGTGAGACATAAATATCTGCATGCTGTCAAATCAGTGAAACAGAGATATGTCAGACATAAATATCTGCATGCTGTCAAATCAGTGAAACAGAGATGTGTGTGACCAAAAAAAAAGCATTAAGTGACATGTAGTTTTCACCCCATAGTTTGCGGTTGCTTTCCTGTGCATCCCATCTTGTAACCATATATTTCACCCCATCCTCTGATTCACTCTTTAATGTGTTTTTATGTCTGTTTTTATTCCTTTGACCATACGGGTTACATTGCTAAGACAAGCTAATTACATTGTTATCTCCCTTTATGGGTTCCAAGGGCCCCATTGTGAAGACAGAAAAGAACAGACCCACTATCCCCATCAGTAAGCATGTCTTAGAAGCCCACAAGTTTAGGGTGTATTCTTTGAAGGCAGAGTGGATCTGCCTGAGAGGCAAGGAGCCAAAATCAGATGTGCACGCAAAGCTCAATTTCTGGAACAAGACTAAAGTCCAGAAGTTTATGAGCAACCAGAACCTCCCACTGGGTTTTATAGCTGGTGAATGTGAAGTAGAAGAAGATATTGTTATGGGGCTGAAATTGAACATGGCACCAAACAAATGGTATGATGCTGATCACATCACCAAACAAGTGCCAATTGGTCTTTAAAATATAGGTATAGCCCTGTGTGCCCAATATACCTGAAGTCGTGGAAAAGGGTCTTTTATTTCACTTACTTAAATGGGTTAGTTTACTTTAAACCTGTGCTATGGATAGATTTCTGAATTTACCTGGAAATCCTGGATTATAACACTGACTGACTGACCTAAAAGCATGATTTATTTTACCTTCGACCCCTTCGCTTTAGTTCATGCAACAGAGTTCCAATTTGTCGAGCTCCTGTACACCCCAACGGATGACCCAGGGCAATTGCGCCACCTTTAGGATTGACTCGCTCTATAGGGATGCCTAATTGTTTCACACAGTAAACTGCTTGGCTGGCAAATGCTTCATTGATTTCATAGATGTCGATATCATTCACTGTAAGTCCTGGGGATATATTACAGTTTTGTGAATCAGTGCAGTCATTAGAAAACATTGGAACACTAGGACACAGTTCTGAAGACCCAATCAGCTTTCTCACACGAAAGAGGTTTAAGGTTTAAACCATGGATCAACATCATGGCACACGGGTAGTAACCCATAAGTGCTCTGTTCCTCTTCTAACTCAAGTCTAAGTCCTAAGAAGTTCAGCACAGTGCACAGGCTCTGTAGCACTGGCGAGGATCCTGAAGATAATACTAGCCTACTTCTGGACTTTACTGGTCAGAAAAATGACCCCAGTCCACTCCTAGGCTTTACTGGTCAGAAAGATAATCCTAGTCCACTCCTAGGCTTTACTGGTCAGAAAGATAATCCTGGTCCATTTTAAGGCTTTACTGGTCAGAAAGATACTCCTAGTCCATTCCTATTAATCAAGTAACAGAAAGTATTGTGAACGGCACTCATAGAAAGAAGCAGAAAGATAGAAGAACACACTAGACAACATAAAAATCGAAAGCTATAGTGACCGTGCCGGGAATTGAACCTGTCACCTCCAGAAGGCGTCTGCGCCCCGCCATGAATACAAGTGCACTAAGATACATGGTCAACTCGGCACCCCCAGAAAAAAGGTGTCTCATTGGCCATGTCTATCGTACAGCTTGAAATCCACGACTATGGAATACGGACAGAATTCATTTCAACCCATTGAAATGGCACCATATGTTACAGAAATTTATATTAACGAAGCAAATGTCGAATAACAATCACAGCAACAATTTATGAACACAGTAGACCTTATTGCCTTGTCTAGAATACACAAACATTTAAGAAAGGTATTTGATTGGTAGGTTCCGGTGTGTATACGTCATTTCTATAAATAAACAGAGAGGGGAACCATTTGAGGCCGGTTTATTTATAGTCCATTCCTAGGCTTTACTGGTCAGAAAGATAATCCTAGTCCACTCCTAGGCTTTACTGATCTGAAAAATAATCCTAGTCCATTCCTAGGCTTTACTGGTCAGAAAGATAATCCTAGTCCATTCCTAGGCTATACTGGTCAGAAAGATAATCCTAGTCCATTCCTAGGCTTTACTGGTCAGAAAGATAATCCTAGTCCATTCCTAAGCTATACTGGTCAGAAAGATAATCCTAGTCCACTCCTAGGCTTTACTGGTCAGAAAGATAATCCTGGTTCACCCCTAGGCTTTACTGGTCAGAAAGATACTCCTGGTCCACTCCTAGGCTTTACTGGTCAGAAAGATAATCCTAGTCCACTCCTAGGCTTTACTGGTCAGAAAGATAATCCTGGTCCATTCCTAGGCTTTACTGGTCAGAAAGATAATCCTGGTCCACTCCTAGGCTTTACTGGTCAGAAAGATAATCCTGGTCCACTCCTAGGCTTTACTGGTCTGAAAGATAATCTTAGTCCATTCCAAGGCTTTACTGGTCAGAAAGATAATCCTAGTCCATTCCTAGGCTATACTGGTCAGAAAGATAATCCTCACTCTGCTAGGGATTGCTGGGTTTTGTAAACAAGAAATGATAGTATGTTTAAAAAAGCATTAAGTTTTTACTCTAAAAATGATGCTATAAGGCTCAGCATAGAACAAGAGGCAGACCTTAAAAGACCTGTATGCAGAATTTGGCTAGATAAACAGGCCTCAAACATCAAGTCCAATGCATGACTGACAGAGGTGGAGGAAAGGGATCAAGCAAAATCAGTAGCAACTGGTGACCCAAAAACAGGCAGTGTTATGGGACTGGGATGATGATAATATTATCATGATTCTTCTTCTTCCCCTTTACTAGCTGTAAACTCTGATTGTTCGTCCACCTCCAAACTTTAGTCTCGTTCCAGAAAAAGAGTGCTGTGTGCAAATCTGTTTTACGGATCTGGCTTATTTGTATACAGACTCTTGGTTTCCTTGACCCTCAGTCAGATGCACTTCGACGTCAAAGGATGCCCCCAGTCAGTCACCTCCTACAACATGCTTGCTGGGGAGACAGAGGGTTTTGGGGTTATGAACCCACACACAGGGAATGACGATTCTAATGTAATACACAGAGATATATTTACAAAACATTGGAGAACATCCTGACAACTGGAAAGATCAGTGGAAAAGGGGTAGAGGCAGACCAAGAGAGATGATGCTGGATGGGCTGAAACGATGGCATGGAGGGATATCATCAAGAGAGCTGTTCCAGGCAGCCAGGGATCTTGATCTGTGGAGACGCATAAGCGCCTACACCAGTTGGCATGGCACTGGTTGATGATGATGATATTTACAGAGTCATATTTCCATTGATGAGATATAGTTTGAAATAAAGAGATCAGGTCAGAGGATTAGATAATGTAAATGTAGATTCTTCTGACGGAGATGTATTGTGGTAGAATATAAAAATAGTTTAGTGGAAGCAATGTCTCACCTGCTTTTTCTAGAGCAATTGGAATAGCAACAGCTGGTCCAATGCCCATAACATCTGGTGGACAACCCTTAACAGCAAATGAACGCAGGATGCCTAGAACTGGCAGACCCCTTCGTTGTGCCTCTTCACGAGTCATCAGTAAAACCGCTGCAGCACCATCACTTACTTGACTTGCATTACCTTCAACAAGTGGGTCAGATCAATTTTTGTGTCATAATTTGTTTGTAATTTAAGTACTTCTAATTTTTTTTTTTTTTTTTTTACAATAGTGAACATCTTTTTCGCTTTTCATTTCTACAAATAAAAAGTTGAGCTGAGTCAAGAATTGACATCACAGCACTCATGGCATTCCCATGCATGCTCCGTCCTCATCTTCAGCAGCCAGGACATAGTTCCAATACCGATGGTACCGGTCACAATCTGGTTATATGTCCGTCTTGCCTTTCCTCTGAGTGTAGTGAGCAGGCCAGACCCTCTAGTTACACCCAGGTGCCTCATTCTCTCCAGGCCATTCAAACAAAAAGAATAGTAAATAAAGAAGTTGTGGTGTTTAAAGTCCTCCTAGAAAGAAGCTAGGGCATTAAACATTTAGTGTCTGAGCATACAGACAGACTCAGTGAAAAGTAGCATTTGGTGCATATTTAGTGGAACTGATCACTGTTACCTATAATGAATAGCAATGGAGACTGTTTGACAGAAATTAAAAGGAGGATGACCATAGCAATGCAAAGATTAAACAACATTAAAAGTGTATGGTTAAGCACCAGCAAGGAGATCAAAATTAGAATTTTGAGAGCATGCATTTTCCCTGTAGCAACATACGGATGTGAGTCATAGACTATCTCCCAGTCCTTAAGAAAGAGAATAGGGGCATTTGAGCTGAAATGCTAGAGAAAGATTCCCAGAATATCTTGGACATAGAAGAGGAGAAATATTGACAGTTTGAAAGATCTGAACATCAAGGAAGATTGGCTAATAAACAGCATCCTGTCTCGGAAGCTGAAATATTTTGGTCATAGCAAGCGCCACGACGAATTGGAAAAAATAATAGCAGAAGGCATGGTACCAGGAAAGAGAGACAGGGGCCGATCAACACAAAGATGGGCACAGGATGTAAGGGACTCCTTGAGTATGAAAGTACATGAGGCAGGAGAGCTGGCCAGAGACCAAGTTTCTTTCAGACAGACTGTGAAAAGAGCGATGTTCTGCAAAGGACCTACTACATGATGATAATGATTACTGTTAGGGTTGTGCTGGTTTTATGGTTTGATTGCTGCTCTGTACAGAGGGGATTTTTGTAACAACGAATGGTTCAATGAGGAGTGGATATTATCCGTTGACTACATGATTTATTTCATGACAAATAAAAGATGTTCTCCAAATGTAGCATTGCAGTAAATGAAACCAGAAGAGATCATGTGAGAAAAGAAGAGAGTCACATTTTTTTAACTGTACCCACCATAAATTCATGGGGAAACAAAAACTGAAATGGTTCAGCCACTTTCTAAGAATAAACCCAGCAGTGAGAGGATTAAGGCTGAAATGGAAACACCAAGAGGCAGAAGGAGATTTGAAAGAAGTTGGATTGAAGGAGTCATTGACAACTTAATACCTCTCATTATCACAGCATACCAAACAACTGAGCTTGTCCTGGCTCAGCTGTCTATCATCTGTTAAACTATGGCAGCTAACAGCACAAAGAAGATTTGACAAAAGGAGAAGAAAGAAATAGAACATCAAAATAATTTCAAATTGACCTTTAGCCTTTAACACTCAATAAAGGCTCAAAGTGAACAAACATCATGTTACAAATATAGACAAATCATCATCACTACAATTGTTAAACAACACTGACCCGCAGTAGTTGAACCATTAGCTTTAAATGCTGGTTTTAGCTTTGTCAAACTGTCAAGAGTTGTAGGCCGGATTCCTTCATCTTTAGACACCTGTAGATAATTTGTTTGACATTTAATGGAAACAGATGATGTTTTATAATTTATGGTATTTGCTTAGATAAATGTTGTTTGATGTTTTTACCAAGTGAAGATTGAAAGAAAGGTACATGGTGTATGGCGGGAATAACAGAGTCTCTGGGAACTCTTATTTCAAACAAAGCCCCATATCAATAGGGGATTCACTGTGACGAAGCGGCTAGATGCTCGCCGCAAATGGGAAGGTCGTGGGTTCACTCCCTGGCAGAGCCAGACTTTTTACAAAAATTACCTTGGCTCCCAGGTCGACACAGCCATGAGTGGGTACCGGGTGCAGTCCCGTGAAGTCAATGTGGCCGGCGTGATGCTGACCACATCACCCATCTTGTGCTGATTGGTCTATAAAATATAGGTCTAGCCCTATATGCCATATACGCCTAAAGGCATGGAAAAGGTCCTTTACTTTACCATATCAATAGGCAAAGTCCCATTGCTTATAGTTGAAGGGCAAGATGGGATTAAATTTCTAAAATCAACCCAGAGGTAACAAAAACTTGCAGAGTTAAAATTCAATCTTCATTATCCAACCAATGTACTTCTGAGTGTATTGCTGAGGTGCCAATCATTTGATGTGCGCTAGGACTAGGGCACATACTGGTCATGAGCTTTCTTCACCTTTCAAGAATTAGATATTATTTTTATGCTAACTAATTAATGAATGGAATACCATATGCAAAGAGTGAGGCCCAAAGAGCAGAATGTAAGACAGGCCTGCACGCCCAATTCTGAACCCTCTGAAAATAAAAGTTGTTTGTTCGTTCCTTGTCATCCTAGAAACAGTTTCCAGTGGGAGTCCTGGCTAATAGGATTAGTGTTTTCTTTGCAATTGGAGTACACCTTCCTTGTATGGGTTCTGGGATCCTATTGTGAGGGGGGGGGGGGGAGAAATAGATCTAGTACCCCCTTTCAAACATGTTGTCAAGGTAGACCAAATAGTCATGTTACTTTTGAAGTCAGATTGCTGCTGCCTGAGAAGCTGGGAACCAACAGACTGCATACAGATAAGTCAGATCTGTAAAACAGATGAGCACACAACAACTCAAGTTCTGGATCAAGACAAGTCTAGAAGTGGACAAATAACCAAACCTTTTCACTGGAGTTTACAGCCAGTGAATGCCAAGAAGAAGATAAGTACATTTGCCTCAGAGGCAGTGAATCAAAGTCTGCACACAAATAGGCCACATCTTTCAAACAGATGTGCATACAAAACTGGACAAAACTCAAGTCATTGAACAAGTACAAACTCAAGATGTTGGTAAACAACCAGGACTTTCCAACAGAGTTTACGATTGGTGAATATGAAGAAGAAGAAGATTATCCATGCCATGTGTGCACAGAGTTATGCAGCAAAAAAACAGATTGTGTAAGTTA